TTCCTTACCTTTTTTTTTTTTTTTTTTAATTTTCTCCGATTCGAAAGCTGGAAGATTCTTGAGAATGGGACGGAAGGCATTGGGGATTTTGAAAGTTCAAAGGAAAAAGTAATAGTGGAAGGAGGAGAGGACACGGAAAGCAAGTTTAAATCTTTTCCCTGAGATGCATGAGGGTGACTTTATTGCCTAAAGATGAAGTCCCACACAGTCTGTAAGCACACTGAGTAATCAAAACGTGAACAGACGAGACGTTAGATTTCTCATTTAATTTTTCAAATTAACTTTCCACTTCTTTCAGGCTCCCTTCCCATTCTTAAATGATGTAATGTAATTCAAGAGGGCACGACAATTTTATTCTTTTTATCTGTTCCCAAGACTACTGGACACATTTAATTGTAGCTTTGCCTGAAGACAAGTTTTTACGTTGGCCCTTCTGTGGTTTCTATGTGAAGTAGACTTAAGGGTAGAAGCCACAGACGCTTATTTACACCCAGAAGTGAGAAAAAGCTGCAAATGGTGTGCGCCATCCAGACTGCCTGAAAGGTTTTGCACAATGCTTTTTAACGCCTTCATTCCAGGATGCATGTTTGGATATGCAATATACTACTGAGTTGTTGGGAGCTCTGGTAGCGTAGTGGCTAAGGCATTTGACTGCTAACCAGAAGGCTGGCAGTTCAAACCCACCAGCCACTCCTCGGAAGGAAGGTTGGGCAATCCTACTTCCATAGTAATACTGCCTCGGAAACCCAAGGAGGGGTTGCTATGAGTCAGGGCTGACTCGACGGCACATAACAACAACAACAACAATCAAGAGGGTGGGAGAGTTGATATTATTAACATCCCCATTTTAGACAGAGGAAAATTGAAGCTCAGAGAATCTGAAGAACTTGTGCAAAGTAATACAACTAGTAAGTGGTGGAGCCTAGACTAGAACCCAGGCAGTCTGACTGCAGAGCTCAGGTCCTCAGCCACTACCTTTCTGTTCCCTTAATAGAAAAAATGCCTGTTTTTGAATCTTAAGTCTTTTCACTTTTATTACTTTGATTTTCCTTTTAGAATAAAGCTAATCAGTATAGAAAAGACACCAAAATTGCCTGCTGCTGCTGAGCTCAAAGATGTGTTTCATAAAGTAATCTACTGAAGATACAAACAAGACCTATAAAAGTTCAACCACCAGACTCCACACCTTAATTTCCTTATTTAAGAAATGAGGAGAATCAGTTCTCTCAGCATTGACGTGAGGAGAAAATAAAATAATTAAATCCACACAAATGTATTTTGTAAACTGTAAATCACTGTATTCTATTAGATATCATTTTTATTAAATATAAGAAGTATAGGTTTGGGAAATCAAACAGGCATAACGTATTTCTAATACAACTGCAAAAGACAGTTGATTAACTAATGGAAACTAGATATAATATGTACAAAAAACCAAACTCACTGCTATGGAGTCAGATGTGACTCACAGTGAACCCTCCTTGGGTTTCCCAGGCGGTATCACTACGGAATTAGCTAAGAACAAGTGAAAATTATTTCCCAAGGATATTTTTATCATTCCTTAAGGGTGGCTGTAGAGGAAATTTACTCAGAATGACTTCTGCAACTTCATGTCAGGGGCCAAACAAGAGAACTCTAGCAAACAGAAACATCATATTCCCTTCTCCCTAGCCACATGTGTAGGCAAGGGTAACAGATGCCTAAGCAAACATCACCCTCCAAGAGGTCTTCCTTGATCTCTCCAGTCAGAACTGATCAAGCCATCCCCTAAATGTTCTCACAGCACATTTGCTATTTTGCTGGCATTTCATTCTGACTGGGATCAGAGTTAACAGCTGCTTCAAAGGCTGACTTCTTACTATTCCTTGAACTCAGTAAATTCAGAGCCCGCCACCCCCCACCTCCCACCCCGCCCCAAACATCGCAGATGCTCCTATTTGCTGGGCAAATGTTTACTCAACGCAGTCTGTATTTTTCAATTCTAAGCCCCCGGCTGTAGTTTTACAGTCTGTATTTTGGGTAAAAACAGAGACATATCACAAATCTAAAAATAAAGGAGGGTGGAAAAATTCAGCTTGTGCACCCCATCTTTTCCCTTCTTGATCTAGGGACAAAGATAATGCTCTTTAAGAAACCGAATGGAGGCACAGAAGCAAATGAAAGCGAGGACGCGAGTGCATTAGACTATTCAAAACTCCATCTCTAACTCAAAAGTACTTTCTCTATCTTGTTTCACAAACACATTAGGCATTTCTGGAACCATAATGAGAGGGTACATCCAGACCCTTTCTTGGAATTAAAAGACCACATATCTTATTCTAAATACCATTCAGGGCCAGTACTATTTGCTTTTCACATTTTGAATCCAAACCCAGAGCAAGGACCATCTTTAAGGCCAGTTTAAAAGGATCTTGGAAATGTTAAGACTCCTCAATTTCTGTATTGTAGGCCCAAGGATATTAACAGTTCTTGGTTATGCAGGGAGATAAGAAACAGTGAAGGGTAGCTCCCAGAAAATGTGCTCTGGGGGTAGCTTCACTACACAACATACTGGGTTGCACAGAGGCGTAAAATATTGTTGCGATTCGTTTTGCTCGAGTGTCCACACCTCCGCGCTGGCCAGAGTGAGGCCGCCCACTGTGGCCGAGCAGCTCTCGCCGCCCTCCCTCCAAACCCCGGCCGCTGTCATCCGCATCTTAAAAGCGCCCAGATGAGCCCATTAATCACATCGCACTCTCGTTCTCTCGGAACGCGGCCTTCCATCGCCAGAGCAGAACGCGAGTTACCGTCTTCTACCACTTCGGCGCATCACGCCCCTTCCCCGCCCAGCATGGAGACAGCCCTCAGCTCCGGCAGGCAACATCATACCCTATTCCTTTTTGCTACTGTACCCCGAATCACCTATTACCTTCCCCAGGCAAATGTGGCACGTGATGGGCAGAGTGAGCGACAAAGTAACGTTCTGCACGGTCTGAGCCATTGCAGCATTCAGAATCCCGCCAACACGGAAGTCCCGCCGACCGCAGCTCCTCGCCGCGTTTGGGGCCGCGCGAGGCCGGCTACGGTGGCCCGATAGGGCCATAGTCCGCCAGGGAGAGGTAACGAAAACGAGCTTTCAAAATGCAGAATCATCGAGAGTTTTTCCTTCTTTCTTTCCTTACCTTTTTTTTTTTTTTTTTTTAATTTTCTCCGATTCGAAAGCTGGAAGATTCTTGAGAATGGGACGGAAGGCATTGGGGATTTTGAAAGTTCAAAGGAAAAAGTAATAGTGGAAGGAGGAGAGGACACGGAAAGCAAGTTTAAATCTTTTCCCTGAGATGCATGAGGGTGACTTTATTGCCTAAAGATGAAGTCCCACACAGTCTGTAAGCACACTGAGTAATCAAAACGTGAACAGACGAGACGTTAGATTTCTCATTTAATTTTTCAAATTAACTTTCCACTTCTTTCAGGCTCCCTTCCCATTCTTAAATGATGTAATGTAATTCAAGAGGGCACGACAATTTTATTCTTTTTATCTGTTCCCAAGACTACTGGACACATTTAATTGTAGCTTTGCCTGAAGACAAGTTTTTACGTTGGCCCTTCTGTGGTTTCTATGTGAAGTAGACTTAAGGGTAGAAGCCACAGACGCTTATTTACACCCAGAAGTGAGAAAAAGCTGCAAATGGTGTGCGCCATCCAGACTGCCTGAAAGGTTTTGCACAATGCTTTTTAACGCCTTCATTCCAGGATGCATGTTTGGATATGCAATATACTACTGAGTTGTTGGGAGCTCTGGTAGCGTAGTGGCTAAGGCATTTGACTGCTAACCAGAAGGCTGGCGGTTCAAACCCACCAGCCACTCCCCAGAAGGAAGATGGGACAATCTACTTCCGTAGTGATACTGCCTCGGAATCCCAAGGAGGGGTCACTATGAGTCAGGTCCGACTCGATGGCACATAACAACAACAACACAACACTGAGTTGTTGAACTCAAAAGGATAATTTGTGAGGTTATAAATTAGCATTTCCTAAGCAATGAAAGAAAGAAATGAAGAAAGTTTAAAATAAATCACTTGGAATATAACTACAGCTTGCTTTTAAGTGAAGAAGAGCTGATGTGATTAACTCCTGAAAACTAAAAAACAGTCTGAGAGTTGCAAGACTTTGAAATAAAACCAGTGGAACTACTTTTACTAATATTACAGTAAAGAAAGGCAGAATAGTGATCAGAAGCAGCCTCATGGTTAGTTAAGAACTTGGAGTTCTGGAACCAAATTGCTAGAATAGAAATCCCTGCCCTACTAGTTTACTGGGAGCTCTGGTAGCATAGTGGCTAAGGCACTTGACTGCTAACCAGGGGTCGCTATGAGTCCGGTCCGACGCACATAACAATAACAACAATAGTTTACTAGCTCTGTGGCCTCAGGCAAGTTATTTAACTTCTTCAGGCTTTATCTACAAGGAGCCCTGGTGACGCTACAAACGCGCCAGCTGCTCCCCGGGAGATTTACAGCCTTAGGAACCCTAGGAGACAGTTCTACCCTGTCCTTACAGGGTCACTATGAGTCCGAATGAACTGGATGGTAGTGGGTTGTCCTTAGCGTCCACATTGGTAAAGTGGATTTTTAGTGAGGATTAACTGACATCAATGTAGGTTTTTTATAATGTCGGTAAAAGAACCACACAATAATGAAACTGGAGCAGCTGTCAGTTCACAAAGCCCAAGTTCAGTTCAAAATGGGCTCACAAGTGACAGCAGGATTTCTTCCAAACAGCACAGTAACTCCCTTTCCTAAGCACCAGAGACCATTTCCTAGACATTGGAACTGGGGAACTGTACAAACTGGTGATATAGATTCTCTGTTTAATTGCCCCTTTTTGGAAGGCCAGGTATAAAAATCATCTTGGTTAGCTCTTTTCTGACTGTTGAAAGGCAAAGTCATGTTTATGTTGGGTCTAGAATTTGTATGTTTTTCTAATGCATCTTTCATGTTCCTGGGTATAGATACCCAGGCTTCAGAATGAGGGAGCTACAAGTTACCCACTGTCATTCTAGTTTTACCTTATCTCCATCTTTGTTTTCTCTCCTGTTCCCACATTGCTCTGGTTTATACCTCCAAAAACCAAACCAAACTCACTGCTGTTGAGTCAGATCCGATTCTTAGCAACCCCTCCTTGGGTTTCCAAGGCGGTATCACTACAGAAGTAGATTGCCCAACCTTTCTTCTGAGGAGTGGCTGGTGAGTTTGAACCGTCAGGCTTCTGGTTAGCAGTCAAATGCCTTAGGCACTACTGGTGGTATTTTAGGGCCGTCACCCCCATGGTAAGTGGGGTGTAGGACTGAGAATATTCTGCCTGTCTCATCTATCCCTACAAACAGTGCATCAGGAAAACATGTGGAAAACTTCTTTGTGTTGCTTACCGGAACGAGTTCAAGGAACTCTGGTGGTATAGTAGTTAAGGTATTTGGCTGCTAACCAAAAGGTAGGTGGTTCAAACCCACCAGCTGCTCCTTGGAAGAAAGCTGAGGCAATCTGCTTCTGTAAAGATTTATAGCCCTGGAAACCCAGTGGGAATTGGAATTGACTTGATGGCAGTGAATTTGGTTTGGTTTGGAGGAAGTTCATTTCTTATAAATCTTCTTAGTGATTAGTGTCTATACCTAGTGTGATGGTTATGTTTGTATGTCAACTTGGCTAGGCCTGGTTGAGTGCCTGGGCAGCTGGATGTAATATTCCCCATGACTGGTAATCAACTCCATGGTGGAATCTACTGGGAGCAGCTGAGTAGCTACCTTTGGGTATGTGGTCTGCTTACTGTATATAAGCAGCAGCTTCGGGAATAGTCTCTAGCCTATGGCACGCTTGGACCCTGCATGTAGCCATATCGTTGCTCAGCAGCCTGCTATGCTCTGCCGACCTTGGGACTTACAATGGACTTAAGTTAACGGCCTGTCGTGTGGTTTGGTAACATCGGGACTGTGCCTTTTTACTTGTCAACTTTGGGGCTTCTCAGCCTCAGCAGCTAGCAGCTGTCTGAGTGAAGAAGTGCCTCTAGCTCCAGTGGGCTGGGAGCAGGAGACAGAGCTGGACCCCAAGGTTGAGGGGCTTTCACCCAGCCCCTGGAGCCTGTCACTTTGAACTTGGACTTAAAGCCTCCAAATTGTAAGAACAAACTGTTTGTTAAGGCCATCCTATTTGTGGGATATATTCTTGTCAGAGCAGCACTAGGTAACCAGAACACCTAGTCACAATGATAAACTTTAAAACTCAACTTGCCTAGGTGATTTTCAGCATATCCTTCTACATTTGTTATCATTGTCACTTATGCAGGTTCTCAGTGATGCTTTAGTTATTTGTCCACATAATTATTTTTGACTGATCATCATGGTATTAGAGTGGGATGTTAATGTATCTGCTCCCACTATAGACTTATGTTTCTTTTTTAAAAAAAAGAGCTTTATGAAGAAATAATTCATCCATTTAAAGTGTACTATTCAATGATGTTACTATAGTCAACACATGTGATTTTAGAACATTTTTATCATCTCCAAAATACATCTTTAGTTATTATTGCACTTAATGAAGATCAAAGACTACAGTCTTCAGTATGGATTATACCTCAACATAAAGAAAACAAAATTCCTCACAATTGGACCAATAAGCAAATCATGATAAATGGATAAAGCATTGAAGTTGTCAGGAATTTCATTTCACTTGGATCCACAATCAATGTCCATGGAAGCAGCTGTCAAGAAATCAAATGACATATAGCACAGAGCAAATCTGCTGCAAAAGACCTCTTTAAAGTGTTAAGGAGCAAAGATGTCACTTTGAAGACTAAGGTGCACCTTACCCAAGCCATGGTATTTTTGTTGTTGTTATGTGCTGTCGAATCGGACCCTACACATAGCAACCCCTCCTTGGGTTTCTGAGGCAGTATCACTACTGAAGTAGATTGCCCCATCTTCCTTCCGAGGAGTGGCTAGTGGGTTTGAACTTCCAGCCTTTTGATTAGCAGTCAAGTGCCTTAGGCACTACGCTACCAGAGCTCCCATGGTATTTTTAGTTACCTCATATGCATGCGAAAGCTGAACAAATGAATAAGGAATACTGCAGAAGAACTGATGCCTTTGAATTACAATGTTGGCAAAAAATATTCAATACATTGTGGACTGCCAGAAGAACTAACAAAGTCTGTCTTGGAAGAAGTTTAGACAGAACGCCCTTAGAAACAAGGATGGAGAGACTTTGTCTCATATTCTTTAGACTTCTAATCAGGAGGGGCCAGTCCCTGGAGAAGGACATCATGCTTAGTAAAGTAGGAGGTCAGCAAAAAAGAAGAAGACCCTCAATGAGATGCACCTTCAAGCACAGTGGCTGCAATAATGAGTTCAAACATAGTAGTCATTGTGAGGATGGTATAGAATTGGGCCGTGTTTCCTTTTGTTGTACATAGAGTTACTATGAGTCAGAACTGACTTTATGGCACTAACAATAACATCACCATTCTTAGTCCTAAAAAAACTACTAATATATTTTCTGTATCTATAGATTTGCCAAACAAGAGCCCTGGTGGCACGGTGGTTAAGCACTTGGCTGCTAACCAAAAGGTCAGTGGTTTAGGAGCTCTGATAGCATAGTGCCTAAGGCACTTAACTACTAACCAGAAGGCTGGCAGTTCAAACCCACCAGCCACTCCTCGGAAGGAAGATGGGGCAATCTTCTTCCATAGTGATACTGCCTCGGAAACCCAAGGAGGGGTTGCTATGAGTCAGGTCTGACTCGAGGGCACATAACAACAAGATAGATTTGCCAATTCTGAACATTTCACATAAATGGAATCATATAATTTATATTTTTTTGTGACTGTTGTTGTTTTTAGGTTCTGTTGAGTCAGTTCCAACTCATAGTGACCCCATGTACAACAGAAGACACTGCCCAGTCCTGTGCCATCCTCACAATTATTGCCATGCTTGAGCCCATCATTGGTACTACTGTGCCAATCTATCTCATTGAAGTTCTTCTCTTTTTTTCCTGAC